CACAGGTCCACTGGCACTTCACATTTGATAGACAGCGCAAACAGGGAGCCCCTGACTGGGCTATGGCAACTTTTGTCAAGGCTTGCGAAGCCGCATACCAAGTATTCCCAATGGAAGCAGTGCGCGCGCGTTATGGTGTCACTTGGGTTCTTCCAGAGAAAGACATCCCTAGGCTAATGGAACGAGATTACGGAGTGCGTTTGAGTCTTGTTGTATCCTTTCCTCTCAACTCATAACCGTTTCTACAAGTTCTGGACAATTGACACTAGGTATGGACTGGGCCATCCCATTGAGGGCCAACCTGTACGTTCCTTTTGGTCTGTCTTCTTTCTTTTTTTGACGTATGTGTATCCCTAGCGCGTTACTGCTTTCCAGGAGCCTGGGTCTACGTCCCATCCTCAACCCTTCCTTCCGTACAAAGGTTACCTTGAGGAGCCTTCTGCAGATGAGGAGGAACCAATCACCGTCAAGCACGAGTTAATTCTCGCCGTGCCTCCTTCAACTCAGACTGCGTGACGGACTACCAAGAGCAAGTCTACCACTCCTCCTACCGCTGAATCCTCGACTCCTTCCACCTTTCTGCCTCCAAAGCCGGTAGTTGAGGTGTCTCCTCCTCAAAAGGTTCGTTCGGAGGTCCGGCCAAAGCGCAAGCAAGCCGGCGGCGACGATAAAACCCCAGCCAAAGTGCAAAAGACCAAAAAGACGGTACGTCTTTTTGCTTTTCTTCTTTATGGTTTTCACCCTGTTATTAAACATCTTCTTGTAGTCGTCTGCTCCGTCAACTGCGCATACGACCGTCCCTCGTCCTATCCTCAAGAAGACGACTCCTCGCAAGACGAAAGCTGTGGATCCTGACATGCCAGCTCGTCGAGTTACCCGTTCGCAAGCATCTTCTGTGGCCAGTATGGTGGCACCAACTGACGACGAACTCCCTGACCTGTCGGACCCATCCATTCCTCCAGAATCCGATGCAGCATCTTCAGCCGCTCCGGCTCCTACGCGCCAGTCCACAAGAAGGAAGACCCCAACCCGTACTTCGCGAACCTTGTCCAGCAAAGTTGCTCGAAAGGGTAAAGGTAAAGCAGTGGCTGCAGAATCCGAGGCAGAGCAGACTGAGGCAGAGTCCGAGGACGACGATTCTCAGTACACCTTCGAACTTCCGAATGAAGATGCCATATCCAAGATGTTTGCGAAGTTCCGACCAGTAGAGGAGTTTCCCCTTGACAAATACGGTTATAAGGTATCTTTCTTTCTTATTACCTCGGTCACGTCCTTAAAACCTTTTTAGAGTGAATCAGCATATGGCAAAAAGAAGAAAGCCATTATCACTTTCACTCCGGGTACGTCCTTATTTGCTCACATCCTTCTTCTTGTTAATATTCTTTCTTTTCAGAGGCCAGCAAGTTTGCCATACGCGTACCTCTGGGGACTCGCGTACCAGTTTCGGTTAACCTGGCAAGTTTCCTCAAAGCCAATGTATCCTCTTCCTTTGTAAGTCTTCTTTCAACAGTCTTCCTATCCTGTTACTTACCCTTTTCTTCTTATGCAGGCTTTCGATAAGTGCGTCCATTGTAACGAACGGTTCGATCACTCCTGCAACCCCCCAAGGTCCTGTTGCTGCTGGCAGCAAGATCACTATACGCAAGTGTAATTGCTGCCAACAGGTTGGACAGTCATGCACTGCGACTTACCCCATCAGCAAGCTAATGCTAACCAAGGACCTGCTGAGTACATTCAGCCTGAATAGCACCCATGGTGAGGGTTTCTTATTGATTTCTATCCTCTTGCTAACATCTCTTCGTGTTTCAGAACTTTCTCAACGGCTTTCACATGTCCTTGAGCTTCAAAACCTTCGTTCTAAACTCCGGGAGCAGGCCAACGCTCTGGTCGCCACTATTCGGTCTTTGGACGATCAAATTGCTTTTGGGCAGGCCCAGCTTCGCGAATGCTCGGTAGATCCTACGATTCTGGTTTCCCAGCTTGCTCAGGGCGAGGGAGGGGCTTTGGCTCTAGACGAACACACCCTCCATCTTCTCTCGGTGGCTGCTGGTTGGGAGGCTAACAACCTCGAAGTTCCATCCCGTCTGCAGCTGAATGAAGAGACTGGGGAGTACGAGTGTGTTCCTCTTTCGTCTGGTCTGCCATCACGCGAGCCTTCGCCTTTTGTGGATGATTCCATGGACGTTGATGAGGAACCACCGGTTGCTGGTCCGTCTCGTCGTTGAGATGCAACCCAGGAGTTCGTCTTAAACCCTGGACTCTTGTCAGCCCCTGGTGGTTCTTCTGTGGTTAGGAGTCGGTCTGCGCGAAAGGCAGCTTCTACTTCGCCAACTGTATCGAAGCGTGCGCGCGATAAGGGAAAGGAGGTTGCTCAGTCTCTGTCTGCGTCCACTACTCCTCGTAGACCCAGCGTCTCGTTCAAAGATCCATCAAGTTCCGAACCTGACGTCTAATCTTCTTGCTATGCCTTTGGTAAGTTCTTACTGCTTCTTCTTTTTATTTGTTACTGAGGGTCTTCTTATCATAGCTTTCTTATTGTGTTACATACCCTTGTCGTCCCTCTTGTTGGTATATATCGATACCTTTGTATATATCCTTTCTTGAGCTTGTTTAGCTATACCCGTATATGTTTCTTCTTGGCCTCTAGCGTACTTTACTAGAGATGTTGTTATTCTTCTCTTGTATTTACTCCTTGATTGTAAATAAATTTGAACTTCGTTGTATCTTTTGAGTGACCTTAAGTTTGAACGTCTTAGCGAACGCATTGATTGCTAATCCAACTTTATGGAGATGTTCGCGTGTAGGCGATACATGCGTTGTGTTGCATGATTAACCTTTTCGTTAAACGTTTAACGTTTATTTCCTCCATTTAGCTTAGCGTAATTTCGGAAATTTCTTGGCATGCGGTCGCCACCCTCTCCCCCCAACTAAAAAAAACATCGTCCCGATGTTCCTGTGTGAAGGAGATCCGAACAAGTCCGATAAGGCTCAAGGTCAGCCCTAAAGATGTCAGCGCGAAGGGTATAAAAGCTATCCCTTCTCTTCTAGATCGACAGAATCCATCTCTTGAATTCACTCAATACTTCGTCTCAAATGGCTCCCAGTACTCCAACTGTTACCCCTGCAACTAGCTTCTCAGCTGAGGAGTGGGTGAAGCGTGCAAAATACCTAACTGGTGTCCTCAAAATGTCTCTTGAAGGAGGTTCCCCCTCCGACAAGAGAACAGCTGCCATCCAGTTGGGAGATTACTTGGTATGCGTATTCGTTCTTTTTCTCGGAACCGAGTCTGACATCTCTTCTTCTTTCTACAGGCTAAGGTCCCTGACCCGGCCATCTTCAAAAAGGAATCCGATTGCGTTCAACAACTCCTTGATAGTAAGGCTTTCCTTGAAGCTGCTACTAAGGATCACAACATCGGTTCTCTTCATACCATCAACACTATGAACAAGTTCTTGATCGCTATTGGAGCTGTTCCTGCTCCTGTTGAAGAGAAACCTCCCAAACGCAAGGTACGCGTATCCTTATCGCTTCTCGCGAACAACGCTATACCTTATCTTTTCCAGAGGATTCTTTCGCGAGCCACGGTTAGTGATAGCGAAGAGGATGATGTAGTCATCACTACTGCTCCTGAACAGGATATTGAGGTGCGTTGATAACTTCTTAGTCACTACGCAAGAACTAACTTAGAGTGTATCCTTCCAGATGGCTGATACCACTCTTCGCGGTTCCATCCATGCTCCTCGTGCTTCTAAAGGTCCTAAGCCTACTAGAGTCTCTCTTTCCGGTCCCGTAAGTGTGTTTTCGTTGTGATACACAACTTCTTCTTAACATGCCATTCAGAAGGTCACTACGCGAAGCTCAACTTCTCTCTCGCGAGCAACTACGGTATGTATCCCTTATGCATCCGTGCCTGGACTGGATATTCTGTCTCGTGAATACCTCAAAGCTGACTATTATCTTGCGAAGGCTGAGGTCAACAAGAAGGTCAAAATTGCCACCAGTGTCTCCAACTTCAGTCCTATGACTCCTGGTACGCGTAACTTTACTCGTTCGCAAAACATTGCTGACTTCGCGTAGAGCAGGAAAAAGTTCTTTCGAGCGAGAGTTCCGCTGAACTTTTGCACGACATCAACATTCTTCCCTTCGTTCCGTACCAGCAGCTTCCTACTGGAGCTCTTAACGCTGTGCGCAACTTCCTGGCCAACGAGATGTTGTCTGTTCGTCACCAGCTTCATCTTCTCTCCCAGCACTATCATAGCCTCGATAATTCCTATCAGGAAGCTGTTCGCGTGAGCTTGGCTCGCACTAAACTTTCTGATGAGACTAGCCCTGATACCAGCGATCCTTTGGCTGCAGTTACTGCTGCTAGTGTCGCTAGTACTTCTGGTACTCAGTAAGCGCGTTGAATATTTAGGTCTTTACATCCGTCAATTGTCTTTAGCGTTACTCGGTCTTTTGGTAGCAACTGTCTTGTAGTAGATTACTTAGGAGTCCATGTATCTTCTTCTTGATATAATCGACAATGACAAAGTGATTTTACTCCTATAACTGCTTGATTGACTTAGTCTTGATCCTTGCTTATCACAGCACCACAAGAGTCGTCCAACCTTATCGCAAAAGCAATAATTATAACTTTCAAGCATAGTCTTACGCCCCGTTAACCATGTGGTGACTGCACGTACAAGTTTTGAGCTCATAAGGGCTCATAAACTTCGTTCGCGTACCCCTCACAGCAATTTATACGACTACGCGTGACAAGTTTTTGAGTTCATAAGGACTCAAAAATAAATGCAGTTCGCGAAACCCACAAAAAACTTCCTTAGTGTTCGCATGACCAGTTTTTGAGTTCATAAGGATTCAAAAACTTTGTACCTTTGCACTCATTGGGGGAGTTCGCGTGACTGCTTTTCACTAGCCTCGCGAGCTTTTGTAGACCATGAGTTCGCGTAGGGTATTGTTCGCGAAGCCATGTGTAAGAGAGACTTCTTAGTAGAACATAGGCAAGATTGGTGTAGTGGTTAACACAGCTGATGAAGTTCATTCTGACTTAGCAGCCCTTGGTTCGATCCCAAGCTCTTGCGTTCCACCACCTCATGTGCTGGCTGTAAAACTTGTATCCGTACTAGGAGTTCCTGATACGCGAACAAGGGTTACACCGGCATATGAGGGGTGGATTTTTATTCCACTCTCTTTGTCTACAAAATTGCTAAGTTATAATCTTCCTTGCGCACATCTTATGCAGTTTTGTCTTTGTTTCTTTGCGTTCTGGTGCGCACACCATGAGATTCTTCTATCTCAACTTCTTCTTGTCCTAGGAGCTCTTCTTCTGCAGGTGTTGAAGATCCCTGATCTTCAGGTGTGACTTCTTGTTCGATGATTTCGTTCCTATCATCATACTTAGGCATTCTTAAGTTTGGAATTGCATCAAAAACATAATCCTTTCCTGGCTTCCATCCTTCTTCTAGTACTTCCTCTTCCTCTATCATCTTTCGCAGTTGATCAGGGGAAAGGTCTATTAAATCATGAATGTTGGCAGGTAACTCAATGGGTTCATATCTAGCTTGGTGGGGCAGCACGTGAAAGGCTGCTACCTTCTCGCGTAGCACTGATCCATCCATTTCAGCTAAAATATAAGCTCCTCCTTTTGTCCTGCGTATCACAATCATAGGACCTAAGTATCTAGGATGCATTTTACGATCCAAGCTCTTCTCTATTCTTGTATTACGAACTTGAACCAAAGTTCCAGGTTTAAAGTCCCAGTCTTTAATGACATGTCGATATTCCTTTTCAAATCTTCTAAGTTCTCTTCTTTTCTGTTCATCTACGCGAGCAATCATTGCTTCAATGTGTACGCGATGCTTTGCTAAAGCTTGAGCGCGATAACCAATAAGCTCTTTGGAAGTGAGTACGCGATCTGGTAATTTAACTAACCACGTAGACTCAACAATATCCAAAGGTAAGATAGGTTCAGCTCCCAATACAATGAAGTATGGAGAACATCCCAGTCCCTTCCTAACAGTTACTCTGTCCGCCCATAAAACTGGTTTCAAGAACCAATACCACTTTGACAAATCACCACCTGTGGCCTTCACTAATGCTTGTCTGATGTCAAAGTGCGCTCGTTCAATGACTCCATTAGCTTGAGAATTGTATGCTGAGATAGTGATCCCATGGATACCATACTTCTCTTCTAACCATTGTAGCATTGCTTTCATTTGAGGTGCATTGTCCGTAACAATTTCTTGTGGGCAACGATGCGAAGATCTTGCTAGCCCTCAATTACATGGAATGGAATACGAAGAAAGTTCACGAAGGACTGGCTGAATTATGTGTTGGTAATTGGGAGAAATTCAAAGAAGAACTCATACAGGCTTATCCAGAGTCAGTAGATCATGGAAAAGGAAGTGTTAAGCGTTTGAAGGAGATAGTGAATGATCATAGAATCATTCCTCTCAATCAACGCGAACGATTCCTTAAATATGTGCGAGCCTTCGAGATTGAGTACAAGAAGCTCGCGAGACCTCCCTCTGCGATATCAAACACTGAAGCTGTTGCTCAGTTCACGCGTGGACTAGATAAAGAGTTCCTCAAGGCAATCACTCCAATATTGCCTGCTCCTTCCGAAGACAGGAGACCGGAAGATCCTTATGACTTGCAAGATATCATTGCTGCGGCGAAACAAGCTTCTACGAACCATTTAGCTGCCATCTACAGCATAGGAACTGAGGACGATGACGACTCCTCTCCAATGATTGTTGGAACTGGTACGCGCAAAGGTTCTATGATTCCGAAAAGCCAAGTGCAGTCGACTTCTAAGTCAACAGATCCAATCCCGACCATAAAGGAAGAATCTAGTTCAAGGGCTTATGACGATTTGATATCCAGGTTGACTTCTTCAGTAGACCGAAATGATCTTCAGATCAAGCAACTCATGCAGAAATCTGATATCAATATGGGGATATTGAATGAGTTAGCCAAGTTGCTAGTCAATCGTGGAGCAACGCAGCAACAGATTGCTGGTCTATCTGATCTCTCAAAGCCTCGTATGAATAAATATGGGAACCAAATGACAGTACGCGAATACATGTGTTACTTCTGTGGTTCGAAAGACCATAAAATCTATGAGTGCCCAGTCCAACAGGATTACATCGAAGGAAAGAAGTGGATTATTCGTAAGGATGGTCAACTTCGACTCAAAGATGGAAACCCTGTTCCAATGGGAGATTCGGATGAAACAAGACAGCAAAAGATTGATAAGATTGCAAAGCAGAAAGGTTGGGACAAGGCAAAGACTACCATGTTTCAAAGTGAAGCGGAAAATGAAGCAGCGTATGGAGGAATCCCTCCTAATGTAGAAGACAACAGTGGGGCTTTTACTGAAATGATCTCTTTGTTTGCATCTCTCAGAGACCAGAATGAGAGGATCGAAAACAGACTTGAGACCATTGAAAGTGCTAGGACAGACGACATCAAGGTGTTGAACCAGCACTTAAGTGCCTTGACTCAGTCGAAAAACTGAGTGTTCCAATGATTGGGTCTGCAGAGTCTGACGAGCAAGTAATTTCCCAATTTGTCTCTGCCAAAGAAAAGGCCCATGAGGAGAAGAGGACTCGTCTAAAACCAGAAGTTGTCATTCCACGTAGGAAGGATGCTGTGTATGTACCACCAGCAAGGAGAATGCCAGAACAAGAAACAAGGGCTGATAAAGATACTTCGAAAGAAGATACGCGAAGTAAGAACAAAGAAGAAGCTGCGCGAGCATCTGAATCCGCGAGCAATGAGACTAGGCCATTCGCGAAGATTATACCAGTCAATCAGGAACAATTGCCAGACAATATTCCTGAGAAAACTCCGCAGAAAGAAGTCGAGACTAAAAAGCTAGCGAACGATTCTCAGAGGGTGGCGACCGCATGCCAAGAAATTTCCGAAATTACGCTAAGCTAAATGGAGGAAATAAACGTTAAACGTTTAACGAAAAGGTTAATCATGCAACACAACGCATGTATCGCCTACACGCGAACATCTCCATAAAGTTGGATTAGCGATCAATGCGTTCGCTAAGACGTTCAAACTTAAGGTCACTCAAAAGATACAACGAAGTTCAAATTTATTTACAATCAAGGAGTAAATACAAGAGAAGAATAACAACATCTCTAGTAAAGTACGCTAGAGGCCAAGAAGAAACATATACGGGTATAGCTAAACAAGCTCAAGAAAGGATATATACAAAGGTATCGATATATACCAACAAGAGGGACGACAAGGGTATGTAACACAATAAGAAAGCTATGATAAGAAGACCCTCAGTAACAAATAAAAAGAAGAAGCAGTAAGAACTTACCAAAGGCATAGCAAGAAGATTAGACGTCAGGTTCGGAACTTGATGGATCTTTGAACGAGACGCTGGGTCTACGAGGAGTAGTGGACGCAGACAGAGACTGAGCAACCTCCTTTCCCTTATCGCGCGCACGCTTCGATACAGTTGGCGAAGTAGAAGCTGCCTTTCGCGCAGACCGACTCCTAACCACAGAAGAACCACCAGGGGCTGACAAGAGTCCAGGGTTTAAGACGAACTCCTGGGTTGCATCTCAACGACGAGACGGACCAGCAACCGGTGGTTCCTCATCAACGTCCATGGAATCATCCACAAAAGGCGAAGGCTCGCGTGATGGCAGACCAGACGAAAGAGGAACACACTCGTACTCCCCAGTCTCTTCATTCAGCTGCAGACGGGATGGAACTTCGAGGTTGTTAGCCTCCCAACCAGCAGCCACCGAGAGAAGATGGAGGGTGTGTTCGTCTAGAGCCAAAGCCCCTCCCTCGCCCTGAGCAAGCTGGGAAACCAGAATCGTAGGATCTACCGAGCATTCGCGAAGCTGGGCCTGCCCAAAAGCAATTTGATCGTCCAAAGACCGAATAGTGGCGACCAGAGCGTTGGCCTGCTCCCGGAGTTTAGAACGAAGGTTTTGAAGCTCAAGGACATGTGAAAGCCGTTGAGAAAGTTCTGAAACACGAAGAGATGTTAGCAAGAGGATAGAAATCAATAAGAAACCCTCACCATGGGTGCTATTCAGGCTGAATGTACTCAGCAGGTCCTTGGTTAGCATTAGCTTGCTGATGGGGTAAGTCGCAGTGCATGACTGTCCAACCTGTTGGCAGCAATTACACTTGCGTATAGTGATCTTGCTGCCAGCAGCAACAGGACCTTGGGGGGTTGCAGGAGTGATCGAACCGTTCGTTACAATGGACGCACTTATCGAAAGCCTGCATAAGAAGAAAAGGGTAAGTAACAGGATAGGAAGACTGTTGAAAGAAGACTTACAAAGGAAGAGGATACATTGGCTTTGAGGAAACTTGCCAGGTTAACCGAAACTGGTACGCGAGTCCCCAGAGGTACGCGTATGGCAAACTTGCTGGCCTCTGAAAAGAAAGAATATTAACAAGAAGAAGGATGTGAGCAAATAAGGACGTACCCGGAGTGAAAGTGATAATGGCTTTCTTCTTTTTGCCATATGCTGATTCACTCTAAAAAGGTTTTAAGGACGTGACCGAGGTAATAAGAAAGAAAGATACCTTATAACCGTATTTGTCAAGGGGAAACTCCTCTACTGGTCGGAACTTCGCAAACATCTTGGATATGGCATCTTCATTCGGAAGTTCGAAGGTGTACTGAGAATCGTCGTCCTCGGACTCTGCCTCAGTCTGCTCTGCCTCGGATTCTGCAGCCACTGCTTTACCTTTACCCTTTCGAGCAACTTTGCTGGACAAGGTTCGCGAAGTACGGGTTGGGGTCTTCCTTCTTGTGGACTGGCGCGTAGGAGCCGGAGCGGCTGAAGATGCTGCATCGGATTCTGGAGGAATGGATGGGTCCGACAGGTCAGGGAGTTCGTCGTCAGTTGGTGCCACCATACTGGCCACAGAAGATGCTTGCGAACGGGTAACTCGACGAGCTGGCATGTCAGGATCCACAGCTTTCGTCTTGCGAGGAGTCGTCTTCTTGAGGATAGGACGAGGGACGGTCGTATGCGCAGTTGACGGAGCAGACGACTACAAGAAGATGTTTAATAACAGGGTGAAAACC